CATATCAGTAAAGCATTAACATGTTAATTCTAAATTGAATTATTGTATTTCAATCCAGTTGTAAGTAAAATGGAACCAATTATTGAACCATATTCATCAGAATTATTAATTGTACAATAAAATCAATATATGTAAACTATTCATATTAATGGTCAAACATAAAATTTATAAATTTTAGATATGAATTTATCTACAGATATGATACTCAATCTATATAAAACATTAACTTAATGGTAATAATTAGATTAAGATGATGAAGAGGATACGTTTAGAAGAAATGAATCTAAGAAAATAACAAGATTAGCTAGTATGAAGGGTATTTCTTTTAAAGAAAATTAAGATAATGTAACTCTCTTTTCTCTTCATAATAAAAGTGGTTATACTTTAAAGGTTTAAAAGAATGGTAGTGAAGGTTTAATAGAAATAGCAAATAATGATTCTAAAAATTATGAAGTATAATCTCATGATGAAGATTATGCTAAAACTTTTGAAAGTGATACAAGACTTATGATTAAATTTTTGGATGTTTCAATGGCTTAAAATTCAATAAGTAATGTTCCTATTAATTATGCTGGAGTTAAAAAATTATAATGGAATGATCAATCATAATATTATATACTAAGTACTTAAATTGAAAATTTATAGAAAACAATTACAATTTATTCTCCATATATGTTTGTTAATCAAACAGATTGTGATTTGTCAATTAAATTATCATGTATTAAAATAACTAAAAACTTTATCCTCAAACCAGGAGAATAAGCAGCTATGCCATAAGAATTATATAAAGATGATAGTTTTATTGTAATTCATTTTTCAGATTCCAAATATAATAAATTAACTTAACCAAACGAACCCATTTTTATAAAGAGAATATTTCATGATATAACAATTTAAATACAACATTATCCATGTTATACATTAGCCACTCTTAATACAAATTTAGTTTAGAATGTCAAATATATAGAATTTAAACCTGCTTTTATTTTATACAATTTATTACCAGTCCCACTTCAATTTTTGTTTCATTCTAATGAAAATTTAGAAATTTAAAAACTCATTATTAATCATTATAAAAAACCAAATACTATAACATAATACGAAAAACAATAATCTGCATTATCTAGAGGAAATTCATTAAATCATTTATAAAATGATTAACATGATAATCTTGTTAGATCTATTACTGTTACAGAATTTAATTATACAGCAACAATAAAAATAGAAGCAGGATTAATAGAAGTAGTTCCATAAGGTGAATTATAATTGCATTGGTTAAAGAATGGGGATCATTTAGGAATTAATTTACATGTTCATGGATTTGAATTAAGTTAATAATAGGATATTATGTAAGCTACTTAATTTGAATTAAAAGATACTATAGCCAGTTAAAGTTGTCATATCAAAGTAGAAAAAGAATAAATTAAACAAACTAAATTAATTTATTTTTCAGTATAAACTTGTATTATTAATACAACTAATTAAAGATTAAAATATTACACTTTAAAAGATTAAATGCCTTTAATTTTATCAGGATAAAATAAGGAACCTAAACCAGATAAGGAATGTTTTGAGAGTAATTATGATAAAATTTAAATAACTGATACCATAAAATATTTAATGATTGGTGTAGATGATTGTATATCTAATGAAGTTAATGTGGGTATTTTAGGATCTTTAGGATTATAATTAAAATAAAAACATGGAGGTATAGTATCATTAAATGAATTTGGTATTCATATTTCTTTGGCAAATAATGTTATAAGAAAAGGTGTTTATACTAAAGTCATTGAAATAATGCCAAGATTTGTTATTTTAAATAATACAGGTGTATAAATAAATATTTGTTAATCTGGATATGAATCATAACCAAAAAGATTAAATCCAAATGAGAGATATCATTTGATTTGGCCTGATTGTAGATTAGAAAAATCAATTAGAATTTAAAAACATGGTAAATATAATTGGAGTGGAGATTTATTTATTAATGAAATAAGAAGTACAAATTTCTTTTCTTCAGGTACTAATGAAAATAGCTAATAATTAAGTAATATTTCAATAGAATAATAAAAGAGTAGAATTTTTGAGAAATCTGGTATTTATAAATAATTCAATTTAAAGAAATATGATCCTTAAGAGTTTTTACATTATAAAGAATCATTACCATTATAAACTTCAATGCTTTGTTAATCAAGTTAAGATTTCTTTAAAGATTGCTTATTCCTTACTGCTGAAATTACAAAGGTTAAAGCAACTAATTTTATTTTATTAGAATAGTAAAATGAGGAAAATTAGCTATACAAATTAGTTAATAAATGTAGACCATTTAAGATACATTATGGATAAGATAGTTACAATAGTTTTTAAGAATGGGTATTAGATTGTGATTAAACAGTGCCTTTTTCTTGGGAATAGCCAAGTCATTCATTTAAACTTAGAGTTAAATTTGTTTATAATTAGAAAGTTGAACATGTTGAAATAATAGATTTTTAATAATAAGAAAGTCTTTAAGAAATCAAATTTTCTAATTATTTTATATGGATTAAGTCTGAATTTTAAGGACAAACCAGAGTTATTACATTTTAATAAGTTAATGAAACTATGCGAAATATGACAAATTCTCATAAAAGAGAAATTGAAGATATTCACAAATTGATTAAATTGTATATATCTCAATTAGGTATTTCTATAATAACAAAACGATAAAACATACTTTTAGAAGCTAATTATATATATATGAGTGGTATAGAATTAGGAATTATGCAAACTGAAAATGAAACTACTGCATAATTAAGAGTTAAGTTTTTCCATATTGATAACAATACTTCTTTGGATACTACTACTCCTGTCTTAATGACATTAAGAAGATATTATTAAGTTACACATGATAGAAATTACTATTTCTTAGAAGCCAGTTGCTCTTTTGAACATTAAGTCAAAGCCATTTTATTATATAATTCAATAAAGATTTATATTTAACCATTCCAATTACAATTTGATGAAGAATATATTCAAGTAGTTCTTGAAACAATAAAATAAGTTAAACAATGTCTTTAAAATTAATTTGAATTAGAATATAATGGATCACCACATTCAATTAAATCTTTATGTTTCTAAACTCCTTAATAAAGACATTATTACTTAGAATCTATGTTTCAATAAAATTCATCTAATCCTTGTATTGTATGGAAATCTCTAGAAATAAAAAGATCAAAAAAATAGGTTTATATTAAAGAATTTGTTCTCTCCAAAATCGATTTAAGATTCTCATTTCATAAAAGATTTAGAACAAATATTTAATATGATGAAAATGTATTTAATCTTTTTTCTACAGCTATTGGTGCTACAGTCTAAAATTTTAATGAAGCAGAAATCATTTTAGATTGTTTTAGATTAAGATCTGTTTATGATTCTAAAGAAATTGTTCTCTAATCTATTTAAGATCATTATAAGAGTGAAATTATCAGATCTATTTTAAAAATTATTGGTTCTATTGAAATAATTGGAAATCCTGTAAAGTTTGTATAATAAATTACAAATGGTGTTGTTGATTTTGTTGAAATGCCAATATAAGGTTTAAGACATGGACCATTAGAATTTGGAGTTGGATTATGTAAAGGTACAGGATCTCTTTTAAAAAATACAGTTGCTGGTGCTTTTTATTCTGTTAATAAAGTCACTGGATCTATTAGTGCTAGTGTTTCATTACTTACTATGGATGATGATTATTTGGAAAAAAGAAGAATATTTATGTTGAAAAGACCTGATCATGTTTTAGATGGATTATCCTAAGCAGGCCATTGTCTTTATAATGGTTTTTCAAATGGAATTACTGGTGTTGTCACATAACCATATCAAGAAACACAAAAGAATGGATTTAAAGGATTTGTTAAGGGAACATTAAAGGGCTTATCTGGTTTGGTAGTTAAACCTATAGCAGGTGTATTAGATGCTAGTGCTAAAGCAGCTGAAGGTGTTGTTTCAACTGCCACTCATTTTGATGATAAACCAAATGATACAAGAATCAGATATCCAAGGATTTTCTATGAAAAATCTAAATACTTTTAAAAATATATTGCTTTAGATGCTTAAGTAGTTAATTTTCTGATTGGCTTTATGAATGGAAAATATAAAGATATCGAAATAGTTACCTGCTTTTATTTGAAGGAAACTGAAACATAATTAAATAACATGTAAAGACAAATATTATCTGCTACTAAATCAATTCATGAATGTTTTAAGAATACTTCTAAAATATTAATATTATCATATTAATATATTTTAGTACTTGAGAACATGACATTAGTATAAGAAATCATGACAAAAGAAATTGTTGAAATATTATAACCAATATATGGATTTCTTAGACTCTCAACTGAATTCAAACCAAATATAGAAATTAATATTCTATTAGATGAAATAGAATTAAAAAAAGCAACAGCATTATTAGATTACTTACATTAATAAGTTAAAAGTCAATATGATTGAAACAATTTTATTCTTATCTTTATTATTATTATAAATTTATTGACTATATTATGAATAATTTTGATTATCTTTAATATTACTATTAAAATCAATAATATTATTAAATCTTGAATAAATCTAATAAATCGAAAATTGTATAATACTTATTAAATAACAATAAATAGTTGGAGTATCAATTAATAAAAAATAATAATAATTCTAAGATAAAATATTTAAAAAATCTATTCATAAAAGAACTATTTTTTATTAAATTTAAGTATCTTCTTACAATAAATTTATAAGTTAATAATAAGTAAAAAATTTTTGAATTTTTTATTTAATTTACTTTGAAAATTGAATTTGTCATTCAATTTATAAAACTATTTATTGATTATCTATTAGGATAAAATTATAATATATTTTAATAAAATAAAAATAGAGCAATCTATGTTTGTTATTTAATTGATAAAACTTTAGATTTGGAAATTAAAATATTATAAAATTTATATTATTTAATTTATTATTTCTTAATAATGAAAATGACATCATTATTAATTGTAGCATTATAGATCTATACTTCATTAGCAGTACTTGGATTTGATTTGCATGCAAAGCATGATGATTTCTCTTGCTTCAAAAAAAATGGATATTAATTTGCTATTACCAGAGCTTACAGAAGTTTTGGAGCAGTGGATCTTGATGGATATTAAAATTTATAAAAAGCTAAAGCAGCAGGATTAATAGGTGATGTATATTTCTTTCCTTGTAAAGGAAGTAATAATATTGATATTATATTAACCTTTTAGAAAAAACAGTAAAGTCTTAAGTATCAGAATTTGTACAAACATTTGGCAATAAGTAAACTTAAGAATATGGAACTGTATGGGTAGATGTCGAAACAAATCCTAGCACTGGTTGTGAATGGACAAATGATTATGCAAGCAATTGCAATTTCTTATAAGAACTTGTAAATGAATTAAAAGGAAACAGTTAATCTGTAGGAATATATGCTTCATAATATATGTGGACATCCATTTTTGGAAGTGCATCAGCATGTTCTCACTTTGCTTCTCTTCCATTATGGTATCCTCATTATGATTAAACACCAACTTTTGATGACTTTCCTAAATATAAATTTGGTGGTTGGACAACTCCCAGCATCAAATAATATTCAGGTACGGCTACTGTTTGTGGTGTGGCTGTTGATTTAAATTATTATAAGTGATAGAAATAATATAAAAATATATATGATTTTATCGTTATTGAATATTACATATTTTCAGAAACTTTAGTTCATAAATAATGTTATTAAAAGATAGTATTAAATAGTTTAATAAATAAATCATGTTATATATCTATAATCTATAATTTTATAAAATTAATGGGGAAAATGATGAATATCCTATTAATATTTATCTATATTGATATGTTAAAAAATTAATAGTATTCTAAATATTTATTGTTTATAAGAATATTATTATTAAATATAATTATAATATATTAACAAAAGATATGAAATTATGTCAAATGAGCTTCTTTTATTTAAAGAAATTCTTTAATTAACGAGCTTAAACAAAATTTGTTAATGTCATCAAAATCAAAGTGACTATACTAAAGATAATGATTTTGTATGAAATTTTGCTAACATTCGAAAATCTTATTGCTTATCTTTCTTCTATTTCTTTTTATTCTTACTAGAATAATTATAATTAGATTATATACTTCGACTGAATTAATTAATCCATTCAACTTCTTTAGATGTATTTCTATAGGTTTCAAGTCTTCCTTTTAAGCCACTAAAGAAAAATCTTATGCATCCATTCCTGTAGCCAAAGTAAAATTGAAATTGACTCCAGCATTTGCTAAGTTATGTACACAAAATTGATAATTTTCTTAAGTGTTATTTGTTGTAAATGAAAACTTATGTAATTCTAAACTATGAGAATATTGTAAAATGCTATCAACCTTTTTTTATGGGATCTTTGTATTTAGTTTTATTTTTACATGTATTTTTAATGAATATTCACTTGAATTTGCTGAAACAGAACCAACAACTAGAATATTTAATCCAATAATTTCTCCAAAGCATTTCAACTCTTTAGATCTTAATGGGAATGTGAACTGTATACTCAAAGCTCCATAAAAAAGAATTGCAAATACAGTAAACATTACGTGTATAAAATAAATAATAATCAAATAAGTGTTATAAGTTATCTTGCTATTAGCTCATTCTTTTCAGCTTCATTAATGATGAATGGTTTTCCATTATCATCTAAAAGTTGCATACCCATTTCTGCATCACATAATTACTCTCCAGAATATGTACAAAGAAGTGTCTTTTATGATTTACCTAAATAAAGTAATCCTAGTATTAGTATACATATATTACTTCTTTTAATAGCTTAATGTAAAGGAGATATGTTTTCTAATTATTTCTTATTGGCATTTCCAATTTATGGTGCTTTTGTAAAATCTTCATTCAATAATCTATTGATATTAATTAATTATGAAGATTTAAAAGGATTTTTAGGTGATTGAATTCTACTTGATTTATTATCTCCAGTTATAAACTCTATGCTATCATTAGAATCTAAAATTGAATTTTCATTAAAATCTACAAAATCTTCTAAGCTAATTTCAAAATGATGAGGATTTGGTTATTTTTTCAATTTTTTAGAAACACTTTAAGGTCCATTTTTTGTAAAATTCAATCCAGCACTAGTTGAATTTGTGTAAAAACTATTTGATTTTATATTTTTAGGAGATAATATTTATTATACACAAGGAGATTTCATAATTTTATTATGTTATGATATTTTATATAGTTCCTATTATTATTTTTAAATTATTAATTAAGACTATTCAATCTCTTTCTTAAGTTCATCATTTTATTTTTAAATTGCTTTTATTTTTTCATCCTTTTCTTAAATCTTTAAAGTAAATTATTATTAAATTTAAGAAAACTTAGAAACTAGAGAATTGTATTATTATTTAAGTTATTAAGAATTTTATCTTGCAGTTTATTAACTGTTAGAATTTTCTTTAACCATTTCTAACATTGTTTCAATCTAATTTTATGCTTATTAATTAACTTATATTAAATAATTATTAATAGTTGTTTTAATTTTATTAAGTTCATCACTTTTATCTGAATTAATTTTAGCAATTATTTAATGAGCTTATTATAATTAAGTTTAATATTATTATTACATGATTGTAATTGATTAAGTAATAATCTATTCAGCTCTATTTCTATCTAGTTTTAATTCTAATTTATTTTATAAAATTTAAAGTTCTTATTAAAAGTGTTATTCATCTTAATTTAATCTAATTGTAGTATTAGACAGTAGATTTTTTGATAAATTTTCATTTTATTTTAGTTTATTTTCTAAATCTGCTTTCATTTCATCAATTTAAGAATTTATATTACCTTATAAATTGAGTACTTTTCTATCAATTTCTTACATAAAATAAGTAGTATATTCATTAAGTTAAATATTTAGATCTATTCCTTTTATTTATATTTAAATTTCCTCCTAAAACTTTTTGAATTCAATATCAAATTTATCTTTCAAAGATGAATAATCATGAACTTTTTCAGATAATCTATTTTACAATTCAGAAACCTATTCTTATAAATCAAGAATAGCTTAATTTTTTTAATTGATTTCTAATATATATTTCTATTATTGTTCTTATTGGAGAGGATTATATTCCATACTAATAGCTTTTTTATGTTGCATCGGAATACTCTCAGTAGGCAAATTTTGAAATTAATTAACAACAATATGTTCTTGATGAGGAATTCGAGTTATAGCAGTTGGACTTTAAGCTCTAATTTTATAAAATAAAGTACCTTGGTTATGTTGGAAAGTAGGCATAAGTCACTTATTGAGTCTCATGATTAGAAGATAGGCATCTAATAACTTATCGAGTATCAGTAGCATTCTTAGTAGAGTTTGGTCTGGATACTCTTTAATCATAAACGATATATGGGTTTGCTATTGTGCAAACAGGTGGTCTTGAAGGCTTCATTATTAACGAATTAAAAAAAAATATATAAAATAGTACTAAAAATCAGAAATAATCAGTGATTGTGGTGATTAATGTAAAAGAATTATTATCATTTAAATATATTTAAAATATTATTAAATTATGAGAAAGAAATAAGGTAAGAAAACTTTTCAAACTGGAGAAGATGGGATTCGTTAGATTGTAAATTAAAATAAATAAAAAATTTCTGATATCATATATGAAAAATTGACGTTTTGTATTATAGAAAGTTAAAGCATTACTCCAAATTAATTTGCAAAAAAATGGTTAACTTAAAATTCTTAAGTTCGGACAGACAATCTTTTGGCCGGTTTTGTTGATTTACACTATGCTCCTTTTGTTGAAATGAGAAACTAAAATGTTAATTATTAAATCTTGAATACTAAGTTATTAGATAGTAGTCGCTGGAGTTATAAAATTATGAGTATATATTTTTAAATAAAATCTAGATAAATTTGCAACAAATGCATTGTAAAAAGATAATGACACTATACATTTATTGGCATATATGTAAACAATTCTAATGGGGTATTTTTCTTAAGCAGATTAATCTATGATTACAACATTAATAAATTTTGAACATCTTGGTCCACTTTAGGCATTCTTCTATACAAAAACAGATAAAAATATTACACTTTTTTGGGAAGTTGGTATTGATAAAATTCCTAAAATTGCTCGAGTAGGTTAAGAATATTAGAAAGATTTGTTAGGTTATGATTATATACATACAATTACATTCATTGATTGTAGATATGATAGCAATGTTGATTAAATTGCAACAAAATTAATTGCATCTTATTATTAAGATGTTTAAACTGCCATACATAGATAAGATTATTAAGCAGTGATAACAAACTCAAAAAATTATCAATTTAAGAAGCATTCATCTTAAGAATATTTATTTTCAATTTAAGCTAATGATTTAGGAAGTATGCATGGAGAATTAGAATATAAAAAAAGACAAAATGATATTATTAAATGGTTGCCACATACTTTTCCAACTGTTTATTTAACAAAATAAGAATAGAAATCATTTAAATATGATAATTAACTTTAAAGATGGGTTAGTAAAGATTATGAAGTTATATAATAAGCTAAGAAAATGAGAGAATATTAAGCTAAGATAAATAAAGATTTATTAAAAAGATATGCTGATTTTTCATCAGCAGCTAAACTAGTTGAATTATTATAAAAAGTTCCTAATTTTAAAATAAAATTAACTGAAGAGGAATAAGAAGTTGTTGGATCAGATGGAAATGTAATGGTTATTGGTAGAAGTGGGACAGGTAAGACAACTTGTTCAATATTAAGACTATTTGCAATGGAAACATTATTTAAATTAAGATTAGAATTATATAAATAGAAACATGAAAATGTACTTTAGAATTATAAATATGATGATGAAGAAGTAAATAATAACGTTGGATTACATTGTGTTTTTGCAACTGCAAGTCCTGTATTAACAACAGAAGTGAAAAGATATTATGGAAAATTAACAGCATAAATTAAAGCAGAATTAGAAAAAAAGAAATAAAAAGATAGATTAAAACGACTATAATAAAAATAAGAATCATAAAAATAATTAATTGAGAATTAATTTAATTAAAGCACAGTTTAAATTTTAGATGCAAAATAAATTGAAGAAACATATTTTGAATAATAAATTGGAGGGATATAATTATAAAAAGAGTAAGAAGGATTTTAAGAAGATTTAAATGAAGAGGATTGGGAAGAAGAAGAAGAGAAATTGAAATAAGAATTAAATGCATTTCATTCATTTGCTGATATGTAAGATTCAGATTTTCCAGCATTTTTAACAATAAAAAAGTTAGTACTATTAATTGATGGATCATTATCAAATCCATTCTTTTCTCGTACTTAAGATAATAAAATAGTTAGATCTAATTCTCATGCTTAATGGAACACTGAAAATACAGGAACCATATTTATAAATACTTATAAAAAGGAAGAAGATTAAGATATTGAATATGATGATGAAGAGTATGAAGAATTATTTGAAGAGAATGAATTAAATATTGATGATATGGATGAATAATAACTTGAAGAAGAATATTAAAGACAAATATATTTAATGAACAAACCTTAATTATAACCTAAAGTAGAGAGCAATATGACTAAACTTTCTTAAGAAGTAGATTTTGACTTTTTTTTAAATAATTTTTGGTTTAGTAAAAAAAATAGATACTCAAATAATAATTTAAATCCAGCATTTGTTTGGACTCAAATATATTCTCATATTAAAGGTGCTGCAGCATCTCATACATATCCTGGACATTATATGCCTAAAAAAGTATATTTGAGATTAAATAAAAATGATTAACTATTTGATGAAATATATTAATGTTACATTCTTTATGAAAGATGGAAGATTTAGTAAGGATATTATGATTTTATGGATGTAGTTAATCATATTCTTGTTTAATTAGTATATGGAAAATGTAATCTTATTCCAATTCATTATTTGATGATTGATGAGTGTTAAGATTTACCTCATGCAGTTTTACTTTTGTTGTGTAAAATAACTGAATAAGGTTTATTTTTTAGTGGAGATACTGCTTAAAATATTGCAAAAGGTGTTGGATTTCGATTTTAAGATTTGAAGTCCCTTTTTAAAAAACCTGAAATTTCTTATAATGCAAAATCAAATGATTTAAAAATTCATTAACTCACTATTAATTTTAGATCACACAACAATATATTATAATTAGCAAATAGTTTAGTTTCTTTATTAGAAATCTTTTTTCCAACTACAATTGATAAATTAAAAAAAGAAAGATCTAACATTTCAGGTCCTAAACCAATCTTACTTAATGGAGATAAAGATGATTTATTTTATCTATTGTCTGGAGAAACAGCAGATAATAAATAATATGTTGGGGAAAGATTACCTATTGAATTTGGTTGCAATTAAGTTGTAATTGTAAAAGATTAAGAATCAAAGAAAGATATTCCTACCATTTTATAGCATGCTCTTGTATTAACAATTTATGAAGCAAAAGGATTAGAGTTTGATGATGTTATCCTCTTTAATTTCTTCTAAGATCATTATATAGGAGATACTTAATGGAAATTATTATAGACTTGTGAGATTCTTGATGAAGAAATATCTAAAGAGAAATTTTAAGATAGTTGTACTCAACATTAGACTTTAAATGATGAAGCAACTATTTTTACAGGATTTGAGGAAAGGAATGGTAATATAATAGTGTAGAGAATTATAACATAAAAAAAATTTTATGATGAATTAACATACAATTATAGTTCTTTATGTAATGAGATAAAATAATTGTATGTTGCTGTAACAAGACCTAGACAAAGATTGATAATATATGATGAAAATCCTTAAGCTAGATAATATATTTAAACTATTTGGTAAAAACTAAATTTAATTGATCATTTTGTTGGAACAAATTTAAAAGATAAAAATGTTGAAAGGTTTGCAAAATAAACATCTAAAGAGGAATGGAAAAAATAAGGTTTGAAAATGTTTAGAAACAAATATTATGAATAAGCTGAAAAATGCTTTGAATAATCTAAGGATGAATAACTCTTCATAAAAGCAAAAGCTTTTAAAATTGCAACATAAGGTAATGTCCTTATTTAATAATATTAACAATCTTCATCTAGTTCAATGAAGAAAAAAGATAAAAAATAACTTTTAGCATCATTAAAATAATAATAGAAAGATAAGTTTTCAGAATCAGCTCAATTATTTTTGAAAATATAGAATTATAAATAAGCAGCTTAATGTTATTATTCATGTGAGATGTATTAAGAAGCATTAAATATATATGCTGAACATTAAATGTTTAATGAGGCTGGAGAAGCAGCTTATAAATGTTAAAAGTATTCTGAAGCAGCAGATTATTTTAGAAAATCTAATGATTTTATTAGAGCAGTAGATGCATGCGAAAAAGCAGAAGCATATGAAGATATATTTATAGTAATTCATTAATTGAGAGATAAAATTCCAGTTGAAACTAGATCTGCTTTTCTAAAGAAGTATTTACCTATAATATTAAATAAAATGACAAATTAGATTGGATAAATTGAATAAGTATTAGATTAACAAAAAATAAATTAAGAAAAAAATGCACTTGTTATTGAAGAAAGTTCAGATGAAGAAGATGATGATGAAGATGATGAGGAAGGAGAGTAAGAAAAATATTAATTAGAAAAAAATTAAATTAAAGAAAGAAATGAATAAAAAATAGATAATAAATAAGAATAAATTATTGAATTAAGTAGTTAATTAATCTAATCACTTCCTGATTAATCATATCCATCTATTTTAATTAAATAAGATAGCATGAATAATAATTCAGAAGATTCTGAATCTTTTACTATTTAAAACATTGAAAGTTTTTAAATTGAATAAAGTAAGGTTTAAGATAGTAAAATATTAAGTGTTACAGAATCAGAATCATTTTAAGTTGAAAAGACATTAAAAGATGAAGATGAATAAAACTTTGAACATTTATCACATTTTGATCCTGAAGATTAATGGTTAAAAAATGATAACAAATCTATTATAGAATCTATTGCATCAAAAAAAAGTGAGCAATCTGATTTTTCTGCTTTTTCTTATGCTTAAATTTAAAGCAATCCTAATGTATAATTTGTAAAAACAAAAACAGATATTTTTATTTAAGATTAAATTATGTAGTAAATTATTAAATATATCTCTATGTTTTCAGATGAATTTAAATATTAATTGTATAATTAAAGAAGTAAATCTGCATAATTAAGTAATAAATAAATTGATTAAAATGAATTTGATTATATGGTTGATTTTATATTAGATTTAGATTTGGTTGATATATCCTTTATTTATTTGGTATTAGATATTTTAGAATAATTCAAAAATTACAAATTATGTATTTTTGTTTGCAATAGATATAAATTAGCTGATCAATTAGGTAGATATTTAGTATCAATTGCATCAACCTATTCACCAATTGCATTACATTCATCTAGTTTAAATGTTTCATATTTGATTAATGGAAAGTAAAGATAAACATAAATTGATAAAGGTTTAGTTGCAGCTTTTGCAGTTCATAATGTTTTTGAAAATATTAATCCAGAATTCATTACATTAAAATATAATGATATCAAATTAACAACTTAAAATTCATTAGGTTTAGAATGCTATTCTTAATTAATTTTATTAGGATTTTGGAAGAAAACTGTATATTAAATGGATGCTTAAAATTCATTATTAGTTTGTAAATTATTTATGGATTTCAAAAATTGGAGGTTTATTTATTATACCAATTTAAGCCATTAAGTAACTAACAAGATTTTAGAAAATGAACATAAAGATAGAGATTTATCATAAGTATATTAAACAATATTAACATTAATATAAAAGAAGCTTGATATTTGTTTTTCAACAATGATAAGAAGTGTTGATATGTTAATATTTACTTATCCAAAAGATTAATAAGAAATGGAATTTGCAATTATCACCTTAGAATAATATTATAGAGAATTAATCACATAAATGGTATTGAATCATAAGGTTCCATAAACATTATTTTATAGACCTAATACATTAGATAATCAAAAAAATATTAAAGTTGAATTAAATCCAAAATAAAATCTACCAAAAATGTATTCATTAAGTGAAGAAGTAATTTATTATTTGATTAATAAAAAAGAAGTTCCAGAAGATATTTTGAATAAATTATGTAACATTATACTTGATTACAAGAATATTCATGATGAATTAGAAATTTATTAATCTATATTCTTACTTATACTTTATTGTTAATATGTTGTACATAATTCAGGATTGGTTAAGACTTAATCTTGGATTACTTAATTAGATGTGAAAACATATACTTTATTAATAAAATCTATTAGATTTATCAAGACTTTATTAAATACAAAATAAGATTGCTTATAAAAATTATCAAAAATTGTTATTAGAAGTGTATTATTTTACTTTAAAATCAGATAACCAGATAATGTAACTTTACTCAAACCTTATATTAATTCATTAATAATTCACAGATCCTCTGTAATAATATAAGGTTTAATTGAAAACAGACATAATTTATAATTGAATGGAAATAAAATTGTTTTAGATGATTAATACTTTGTTGATATTGATTTTGAATTCATTAGTGCACCAAGATCTTCTATAATATTTTAGATTATAAAGAAACTTAATAATGAATTGAATTCCATAAATTCTATAAGGAGGGCTACTTTTGAAGAATATCATTTTGATCAATTATACCCACATGAATATGAGGATCATTTTGAAAACATAAATATTTATTTATACAGTAAATAAAGATTCACTAATTCAATTATTTAAAATTAAAAATCAAAAGAGAACACTAGTTTGTAAACTGTTGATGATTGCATAAAGTAAGAATAATAACAAATTTATTTGAAAATATAAAAAGAATATAATTTAAAGTAAGGATTAAAAGCTAAATAAATGGATGATGATCAAATTAATCAGAAATTGTTATTTGAAAAAAAAAAAGGGTAAAAAGCTTAATAAATTTATCTTGTGAAAAATCCATATATTAAATGTCAATCATCAGAATCAAGAACTTATATAACTAACTGTGCTATAAAAAAGATAAATTAATAATTTAATGATTCATAATCTTTCCATTGTGCTATGATAAAATTTATCCATTTAATGAATTATGCTAATAATAACCATTTTACTTATCAATACATTAATAGAAAAATTGAATAAGGATAATGTAACAAATATGAGCCTTATCTTCAATACTTAGAATGTTTAATATGTAAAAAGTATAATGTTATATCTGATGCCACAGATCTATATTTCTCTTATCAAGAAGTAAGATAAGATTTTTTAACTCCAGATGAATAATATTGTTAATTAACTTATTTATTAATGAATAACATAATTGGATATTTATTATAAACTAAGAATAATTGTTAAATATTAATTCCAAATAGATACTTTATCTACTTTGATAAAATTACTTAACCAGATTAATAGTCATATTTATATGAAACAAACTTTCATCCTGTTTAAAATTAAGATGGTATTGCTAAAATAATTTAACAATTGTCTAATTTATAAAATAATTTACCTTAAATAACCAGTTTTAAAACTATGATGCTCATCTACACATTAGTGTTGAATTTAGATGATATTAAAGTTAATGTAATAAATAAGATAAAAACAATCATTAATAATTAAATAGCTTAAGATTAAGTAGAATAATATAAATAAATTATGACAGTAGTCAACCTTCCTTAAAAATAAAGATTTGATGCTCTGACTGATAATTCTAATATTATTAAATTACTCTTTGCTAAAGGTATTAAATTATATTAATTAAATATTATAAATAAATTAACAGCATAAACAATTGATAATGCATATTAGAGTTGTTTAGATGAATGGTCTAATTTATAATAAAAAAGTGAAGAACTTGAAAATAAAACAAGAAAAATAATTTAAGCTTTTAAAGAAAAGAAGTAATAATTCTATAAACCATATTAATATGCATTTGGTGAATACGAATTACCAAGAAAATTAAAAACTTCCTAATATATTGATATAATCAATGAGTTTATTAGAGTAAGAAAGATATTATTGTCAACGTTTTATTCTATGTTGTTGACAAACTCAATTGATTTCCACTTTATTTCATAACAACTAAGACATCTTGAGAAGAAAGAAGATGAATTCCATTCAATATTAGGAAAATATTATTCAAAAAAGATGGTCAAATAAGAATTTATTGAATTGTATGAGGAATAATATAAGAATACATCAGTTATTATTGAAACCTTATTAAAATGGTAATAAAATAATGTTACATTTGAATAAAATGCTAATAAATTACTAGAAAGAAATAGGAAATTATTAGCTTTAAAATGGATGACTAATAAAGCAGGTCTTGCACTTTAAAAGATTCAAAAGAGAAAGAAAGGATTAAAGAGATAGAAATTATAAGAATAAAAGAAATAATTTATGAAAATATTCTGACTTATTAATAATTTATATATAATAATTACATAGAAATAACAAACATATGATAATTAAATTATTTCATAGTCTTCTAGATTGTTCAAATTAAGGATTTTTTCTTTGATTCATTATTCCAAAGATACCTTTGTTCATTGTTTATTTAATGTTAATTTCCCTAGCTTTTACTTCATCTAAGTATTTAACTTGAGGATCAAAATTGCCAAACTTTCTAAGTTCTGCTCTGACATCCTTAATTTGAGGTTTAGAGAGGTCTGTTTTTATTATAATATTTGTTACGTTCTAAGAGTAAAAGTACATCCTTCAAAACTTCATCATTTTGTTTTCCATCAAATGGTTTTATGAAAATACCATTGTCTTAATATTAATACATTCTTTCTGGATCAGAATCTAGTACTATAACTCTATTAAGAGGACGATTGATATATTTCAAATCTCTAATATATCTTCCTTTTTCAAACACCATAGATTCTCTACCAAAAGCACCAGCAAATATTTATCTTGTAGGATCCAATTTTTAAGTAATTTATTATGTAAACTGCATAATAATTATATGAATACCATGGTTTCATCATCACTCAAAATAACTACTTCATACATCTTAGGTAATTTTTCAAGAAACCTCTATAAACCATTTCTTCTTTTAATTTCTCCTCTAAATATTCTATTTTAATATATACCCAACACCAAAAACATAATCCATATGTAAGAGAGTACCTGAGATATTAAGTACCAAAGTCTTTGGTATTTCATATCCAAATGGTAATTCAGGGATATCAGGCAATAATTTATCAATTGCTGGTTTAGTCATAAACTAATGTTTGATTTAAGATTTTTACATCATAAAATGCTTAATATTAATCTTAACAATATTTGGCAGCATCATTAATTTGCTTTTAATAACCTACTCATAAATTGTTATTTTACCCAATTCTTATGTTGGATCAGTTTTATAATTATTAAGATATAAATTATATCCAAACAATGCTGATGTTGTCCACCAAAATATCCTAGAAAACAATCTAAAGTATGAAAATGCTTTCTCTTTATTCTCCAAAGTTGGATTAGCCTCTTCAGCTTCTATAGTTCTCTCATCCCATTCATCCTACTACTCTTTTTGTTGTTATTGTTATTAACTAAACCTATATCTTGGAAAACGTAATAGAGTTAATGATCTAATTGAATATTTGCTTAGCATCCGTAATTAAAATATAAATTTTCAAATAAATATATGTTCAATTTTATCCACTTTATTTGATATTCTGATTATACTATAATTACCATAAAGTAATGGACCAACATTAACTACTTTACATTAATTCATCATTCTACTTCCTACTCCATCATGTGTATGTCCATGTACATTTAATATAATATTTTACTTATTCTTAATCAAATTTGATTATGAATCACTTCCAGATTTAATTACATCATCCCAACCATTTTCACTGCTTATTGTTGTTTAACTTAATGCAGGACCAATGTGAGTTATTAGAATTATCTTCCCTTCTTCTGGTATAATTAATTTCTCAAGATCTTCTTAATACTCTTTATCACTCTGGTATGGATATCCTTACCAAATCAAACCTTTCTAATTATATCCTTAGGATAAATCTCTATACTACCTGGAATGCTACCACCTAAACCCACTATCCATAAATCATCTCGTATTTATAATGATTTCTTATGAATATTTATAAATCCTTCCTCTATAAATTTATCTTATAATAATTCATCACTATCATGATTTCCTGGAATAAAGTATATTGGACAACCAAAACACTTAAAAGGACTTAATAATTTTCTCAAATTATCCAACTCTGAATCTTCTCCTTATTAATGTTACAAATTCAAAAAATCACCCAATAAAAAAACTGCATCAAATTATTAATTTTTTTCTTTCTCTATCAACAATTAGACTGTTTCAAAATTTAGATGAAGATCAGAAGCGCATAAAATTACTTTTTAATAATTTTACATATAATTAATTATATATATATATATATAGAATCATATATCATATTTAATAATAATTAATTATAAAGTGTAATATTAAAATAATATATTATTAAATATAAATTCTCATTTTTTATTTGGTTTTTTACCTTACTTTTTAAGTTCTGCTAATTTTTCTGCCTAAAAATTTGGATTTCCTGATGCTTCATCCAACATATCATCTGCAGCACTTGTATCTATACCTTCTATATTTAATTATTAAATCTAATCAACACATTTCTATAATGTATCAATGTCAAAGTTTTATAAAGCATTGTTTATTTTTTCTTAAATAATTGCTATCTTCCAATTATTAATAACTTATTTGGCAGCACTTACTAATACAGGATCTAATTAAGATGGATCAGCAATTAATTTTTCTACATCTTCTGGATTTCCTACTTTTTCTTATTTACATAACTATTTTTATTAATAAATAATCTTACATCAAATAATTATTACTCTTTTTTCATTAATTAAGTTAAATCCTATTTGATTGCATCTCTTTATTAATATATCTCTGCAAGTTCTTATTTATATGATGATCTATAAGATTAGAATTCATTAATTAAGATCTCTTTATTATCCCTATAATAGTTATTTATATTTAATACTTTTAAAGAAGCTTAATTTCTTCTCTCATTTTAAGATTTCTTTATATTATTCCAGCAATCTCTTCCTTTCCCATTAGAATTCCTTCTAAAATTTCTCTTTTTTACACATCACTTCTTACATTAATTAATCCAGCATGTCTAGCATAATGATCCATTATTCTATCTTATTCTAAATGTTAAAGAAATTAAGTAATTGCTTCATTAACATGATTTTCTGATTTAGGTATTTATCTTTATTAAGGTACTATTTCAACTGGTGCCTCAACTTTTGTTTATTTACCTACTTTTTTATCATCCTTTTTTGGACCCTTTTTTTGAGCTGCTTATTTAGCCTCTTCTTCTCTTTACTTTTTTGTCATTCTGGGTGCATTTACAATAGCTTATTCTTCAGGTGTTAATTCTTCTTTCAAAGTAATTAAATATTTTGTTCTTGATTTTTTAGCATTTGCAGCTCTTCCTGGTTCTTTGTCTTCCCATGATTTTTTAATTGCTTTTTCTTTATCTTCTTTTGTTGTATCTCTTACAAGTGCAACAGTATCTGATGCAAATATAGTTGTGAACCAATATAAATTATCAGTCTCTTCAGATTTTATTTTAGCTTCTGGCCATTCTCTTAGATCAAAGGATGCTTAAATTACATAATTTTCATCTTTAGGTATTGTAATATTTGAGAGTGTAACTGAATTAATTCCATAATTATATACAATCAAATCATCTCCATGAAATAATTCTAAACGAATAAGTCTTTCTCCTTTCATTTCAGATTCAACTATTTCTAATTCTTAAGCTCCTCCTTTTGTTTATTTACCTTTTGCTACTTATTATTATTATTAAGCTTATTATCCTTCTGTTAATCTAACATAAATGCTAGCTTATGCTTCATTTGCAAATATTCTTTCCCTAAAAATAGTTCCATATTTAGTTGGAACATATTTATCATAATAACGAGCAGGCTCTACATTCTCTAATTATGTAAAAGTAAATTCTTAATTAATTAAGAAATCCAATTCGAAGGTGCCTTCTTATGTATTGTATTAAGGAGTTCCTTCTAATATAAAATAGTAGGTAGTTTAACTTCTGAGCATCATTCTTTAAGTACCATTAATGATGGATTCACTTTCAAATAAATTCTTATGAACTCCCTCAATTGTAGTGAGCATTAAGTTATTATCAGGAGGAGGTATTTCACATAATTTAATTTTAAGGAATTTTAATAATTAATTATCTGTTGTACTTTTCAATCTATAAACAAATGATCCATTTTCTTTGTTAGAATTCAAGAAAACTTTGAATCTAAAATACACATAGTATCTATTGGCTTCACATGATGGATAATCTATTTAGAAAGATTATTTTTGATAATTTTCATAATCAATTAAATAATCGAATACACTTTAAGTATTGATTTTATTATTAGATGCAAACCATATAGTAAAATTAAGTGGTGAATATATATTCATTTTGAATATATGATTTTTATTATCTAATAATAGCATTTATGAACTAACACATTAATTTAATAATTTGTAATCCAAAATTGACTCATATGTTTCTAAATCAAATCGTTATAACATTGAATATGGTCTAATTTATTCATTAAGATCTTTATCTTAAGAATATTTTGGTTAAAATCCATAAAGAAATGCAACTTAAGCATTATCATCAGAATCTGGATCTCTTTAAACAATAATCATTTCAATATTATCATAACTAGCAATATCATTATCTGGATTGCTTTGAATTTACAAAATTTGAAAATTATATCTCTTCGGATCATAAGCTATTTAAATGTAATCAAAAAGACTTAAAAATTCTTTTTCATGTACCCAAAACCCTCCTTCTCCTCTATTAAATGGTTCTTATGCATTATTAACAGAAGAAAAATCTTCTAAAGGTTTCACTGTAAAACTATCATCAGTATTCTTCATATTGGCTGAAACAACAGATTTATCATCTCCTTTAATTTCTGGGATATCATAATTTGGAGGTTTATTCAATTTATTAGCTATACATTTTTTAGCAATATATATTTCATCAGCTGCAAGTGGACTGAAAACAATTACTGGATCCTTACCTTAAACATCACTCTTTAATCTTAAGTATCTATGTTTAACTGGTTATTAACTTATTAAAGAAATCCTTTTTTTATCATCATCTTGTAATTTTTCTTTAATTTCTTTTTTTCTTCTTCTTAATTCTAATTTTTCTTCTTTTGTCATTTTATTCATTGGTGTTTTGCATAAATCAAAATATTCTTATCTCAATCTTAATTCTCTATCACTCCTTTTTTATGCATAAACCATATTAAACCCATTCTCATTCTAAAATTATTCTACAATTGAATATGAAAAACAAGTATTAAGATTTGTGTTACCTGGTGGTATTGATGGTCGAGGAATAGAATAAGATCTACTCAAACTTTCATATGAGAATCCTCTTTGACTTTTTCTAAATCTTTNAGTTCCTTCTAATATAAAGTAGTAGGTAGTTTAACTTCTGAGCATCATTCTTTATGTACCATTAATGATGGATTCACTTTCAAATAAATTTTTATGAACTCCTTCAATTGTAGTGAGCATTAAATTATTATCAGGAGGAGGTATTTCACATAATTTAACTTTAAGGAATTTTAATAATTAATTATCTGTTGTACTTTTCAATCTATAAACAAATGATCCATTTTCTTTGTTAGAATTCAAGAAAACTTTGAATCTAAAATACACATAGTATCTATTGGCTTCACATGATGGATAATCTATTTAGAAGGATTGTTTCTGATAATTTTCATAATCAATTAAATAATCGAATACACTTTAAGTATTGATTTTATTATTAGATGCAAACCATATAGTGAAATTGAGTGGTGAATATATATTCATTTTGAATATATGATTTTTATTATCTAATAATAGCATTTATGAACTAACACATTAATTTAATAATTTGTAATCCAAAATTGACTCATATGTTTCTAAATCAAATCGTTATAACATAGAATATGGTCTAATTTATTCATTAAGATCTTTATCTTAAGAATATTTTGGTTAAAATCCATAAAGAAATGCAACTTAAGCATTATCATCAGAATCTGGATCTCTTTAAACAATAATCATTTCAATATTATCATAACTAGCAATATCATTATCTGGATTGCTTTGAATTTACAAAATTTGAAAATTATATCTCTTCGGATCATAAGCTATTTAAATGTAATCAAAAAGACTTAAAAATTCTTTTTCATGTACCCAAAACCCTCCTTCTCCTCTATTAAATGGTTCTTATGCATTATTAACAGAAGAAAAATCTTCTAAAGGTTTCACTGTAAAACTATCATCAGTATTCTTCATATTGGCTGAAACAACAGATTTATCATCTCCTTTAATTTCTGGGATATCATAATTTGGAGGTTTATTCAATTTATTAGCTATACATTTTTTAGCAATATATATTTCATCAGCTGCAAGTGGACTGAAAACAATTACTGGATCCTTACCTTAAACATCACTCTTTAATCTTAAGTATCTATGTTTAACTGGTTATTAACTTATTAAAGAAATCCTTTTTTTATCATCATCTTGTAATTTTTCTTTAATTTCTTTTTTTCTTCTTCTTAATTCTAATTTTTCTTCTTTTGTCATTTTATTCATTGGTGTTTTGCATAAATCAAAATATTCTTATCTCAATCTTAATTCTCTATCACTCCTTTTTTATGCATAAACCATATTAAACCCATTCTCATTCTAAAATTATTCTACAATTGAATATGAAAAACAAGTATTAAGATTTGTGTTACCTGGTGGTATTGATGGTCGAGGAATAGAATAAGATCTACTCAAACTTTCATATGAGAATCCTCTTTGACTTTTTCTAAATCTTTGAATTTATTGTTCACCTTCATCTTATTCCATTTCTTCTTATTATTCATCTTATTCTTCTTATTAAATTTATTAATGTTATGAAGGAGAACTATTTTTATTTCTAGCAATTTCATAATTATCATATTCTTTTTTTGGATTTCTTAATAATTCTAATAGATATTCTTTCTTAGATCTATTATTTGTATTTAAATTAGATTGATTTTTATAACTATATGTAGATACAAAAACATCTTTTTAGACATAATGATTATTATTCATCATATTGTCAATTACACCCCAACCACTAATAGTTTTCAAATCAATAGTTTCAGTTAATAATCCCATTAAAGAATACATTACAAATCCATCTCCAACTAAACTACCTTTACTTTGATAATCCCATAATTATAATATTGCTTTACTTATAATCATAGGCCATAATTGATTTTTATCAACACTTTGAGGCAATAATGGTTTACCATCAAATGTTGTTGGCATATGATCAGAAACTTATATTTTTCTCTCCTTTCCCATAAAATATAATTTGACTATATATTTACCATTTGGATTATATATTGGTGCTCCATCTTTTTATGGATATATCTTGCTTGATAATGATTTTTGAGTAAAACAATCTTTAATATCTCTATCCTTAATCTATTATAATTATGATGCAATCCAACGAGAATTAGGTGGTAATGTATCATTACAAATTAAATCACTTAATCTAACATCAGATGTCATCTTTGGATTTTCATCAAATACTTCCTCTGCTTGTTTTTTATTACCCTTTTTATTTTTTTATTAAGCTGCTTATTTTTCTAAAAATTCTTTTCTTCTTAATTCTACTTCTTCAGGTGTTTCCATTCTTTCATAACTCTCACAAATAGTCAATTGATGTTCAACTTCCTTTTCCTTAAAATGTATTTTTTCAATTGTTTCAAGTCTAGTCGAATAATAATCATCATTCATATTATATCTATTTTCTCTCATTTCCATATAAGGTGGTTCATGTTCAGATTCTCTAACATAAATTATATATTTACTATTGCCATCTTTATCTTAAAAAATTCTTAGGTCTTCTCCAAAATGGAACATATTTGTCAGTTTCAAAATTGCACTTTGTAAGTTAAGCCTCACCCTATAGAAGATTTAAGGCTTAAACAACTTCATCACCTGGCCAATCCTCAGGGTCAGGAAATGGATGATATTCTTTCATATTGAACAATTATATTTACCTTGCATACTCTATTTGTTAATTTATTCTGGTGCTTTAAGCGGTTTAGGATCTCTAGGTGGATTCTTAACACTTTATGGTATCACATCCTTTAATGGTGTGCCAACTCTAAATAATTATCGACCCTTTTGATCCTTTGTTGTTTTAGGAGGCATAGAAAATAATTAAATAAATAATAATACTATATATCATGTTTCCATACATATTGGCACTATGTTTAAGTCTCTGCATATAAATTGTTAATGGTGTCTCTGATAACATAGAGGTTATCACTTCATGTTGGCTTATAACAGTATAAGACAATCAAAAATTCAAGGTATTATATATCATATATTATTTTTTAGACTTTTGATCATGTAGTTGATTCAGTGGCTAAGCGATATTAACAAAATGATAAAGATAAGATTGTTCATGACATAAGAATATATATGATAAAAAAGTGTTTTGCTACTCTTCCTCTTGCTGATAGTAAATAAGTAAGTATACTTGTTTAACACGCGTTTTTTAGATAATCAAAGATTTTGAAGCTGGATTATCATTCCATGTTACATATAGAGAAATTGTAAAAGGCTTCGATTACACTCATTATAT